TCAGCAAAAGAAACAATAAGAGAGGTAAATAGGGAGCCTACACCCTGGGAACAAATCTTTACTCCTCACACTTCAGATAGAGCCCTAATATCCAGAGTATACAAAGAACTCAAAAAATTAGACAATAAGAGAACAAACAACCCAATCAACAAATGGGCCAAGGACCTGAACAGACACTTCTCAGAGGAGGACATACAGTCAATCAACAAGTACATGAAAAAATGCTCACCATCTCTAGCAGTCAGAGAAATGCAAATCAAAACCACCCTAAGATACCATCTCACTCCAGTAAGATTGGCAGCCATTAGGAAGTCAAACAACAACAAGTGCTGGCGAGGATGTGGGGAAAAGGGTACACTTGTACATTGCTGGTGGGACTGCAGATTGGTGCAGCCAATTTGGAAAGCAGTATGGAGATTTCTTGGAAAGCTGGGAATGGAGCCACCATTTGACCCAGCTATTCCCCTTCTTGGTCTATTCCCTAAAGACCTAAAAAGAGCATGCTACAGGGACACTGCTACATCGATGTTCATAGCAGCACAATTCACAATAGCAAGACTGTGGAACCAACCTAGATGCCCTTCAATAGACGAATGGATAAAAAAAATGTGGCATTTATACACAATGGAGTATTACTCTGCATTAAAAAATGACAAAATCATAGAATTTGCAGGGAAATGGATGGCATTAGAGCAGATTATGCTAAGTGAAGCTAGCCAATCCCTAAAAACAAATGCCAAATGTCTTCTTTAATATAAGGAGAGTAACTAAGATCAGAGTAGGGACGAAGAGCAGGAGAAGAAGATTAACATTTAACAGGGATGAGAGGGGGGAGGGTAAGGGAGAGAGAAGGGAAATTGCATGGAAATGGAAGGAGACCCTCAGGGTTATACAGTGGAGGGGGTAGAGAGAGAGGAGGGGAGGGGAGGGGAGAGGTGGGGAGGGGGGAGGGTGGAGGATGGGAAAGGCAGCGGAGCACAACAGACACTAGTATGGCAATATGTAAATCAATGGATGTGTAACTGATGTGATTCTGCAATCTGTGTATGGGGTGAAGGTGGGAGTTCATAACCCACTTGAATCAAAGTGTGGAATATGATATGTCAAGAAATCTGTAATGTTTTGACCAACCAACAATAAAAAATTTAAAAAAAAAACAATCCGCGAACGGCAGCACAGTTGATTATGTTAATGATATGCACTTGAAGATGTTTTTGTGTTAGAATAATCCAGGAACTTCAGTTCCTGGAGTATTTTATTAATAAACCCTAAACTGAAAAGATTTAAAAAAAAATATTGACATTTATATTTCGGTGATGAGAGGTAGAAGTGATTTATTTCTTTCCACATTCTTCATTTCCAAATACTACAAAAATAGAAATGTAGACAGAATGTAGAAATTACTCTTTATAATTAGCATCTCTTTATAAAATAATTTTTTAAACTTTTTTGTATTTTCAGAAACAAAATTTAATCTCTGAATGTAAAAGCTGGGACTCATATTCTAAAATATAGTAGTCTACATTAAGTTAAAGTGGAAATTATGCTGCTGCTGCTAGAATTAAACCCAGTGCCTTATGCATGGTGGGAAAGTGCTCTACCACTGAGCTACATCTCCATCCCTATTCTTTTTTCTTTTTGAGAAGGGTCTCACCAAGTTGTCTAGGCTGGCCCTCAAGCTTGCAAGCCTCTCGCCTCAGTCTCCCAAGTAGCTGGGATTACAGCCATGCACCACCATGCCTGATTTATAGAAAATATTTTTAGATTTTTGTCAAAAGTATCTTGGTTATCTCAGAGAAGCAGGGTTTGTTTTCTGCTCAGGACCATTACCTTCACAGAAAGAAAGATCCCTCCAAAGCCCCAGAAAGAATAATTTAGCCACCACCAGCCTCTAGAATATGTATTCTTGATCAGAAGAGTTATCAATAAAGATGGCTTGGTAATTAAAAATAACACACACCCAAGTCCCAAATTTTCAGGGTGATACATCTTTTAAAAATAATCTCTAGTCCTTTAACTCAACACAAGGAAATTACTAGCCTTGCATTTAAATTCAAAATACAATGAAAATTATTTAGTACATCTTCTCTTATAGAGTAGAAGTGACACAGTCCTGTTCAAAGACTAAAATCAAGTATTTAGTGTCTACTTACTTCAGAAAGAACAGCTAGTATATGAATGAATCATAAGTTCCATTTTACTAAAGGTTTCTTGGGAATAAACTAGACACCAAAGTACATTTTTAAAAACTGACGTGCAACTCCAAGTCAAATAAAATAGTTTATAAGTGAGTGTTCTGAATAATTCAACATTTGATTAAAGAGGTTTTGACATCCCAGAATGCATCAACAAAGTGTTACCTATGCTTCACTGCTATGGGTTGAGATCTGAGAATTGGAACCCCATCTCATGAAGTGGTCTAGCAGGGCTTGGAGGGAATGAGCCCCCAAAGCAGTCTCCTCCAGCTGTCAGTTGCTTGGTCTGCTTGACCCAAAGCCATTAAAATATAATCATTCTCTATGAATATTATGACACAAAAAAAGTTAGAAAACACAAAAGTGACCAGAGTGCCTTGGAAAAATAGCTGATTTCTAGCATAAAGAAGGAGCACCCTTTTATACCAGAGAACTAAAAAGTTCCTGGGGCTATGTCAAAAAAAAACAGGAGAAAACTTGAATGAACTACCTCTGGCCAAAATATATAATACTTAAGCTTCGTTAAAAGTAAGAGGTTTGGACTGGGGATTTTTGTATTGGGGAAAGGAAAAGTCAGTGGAATGGATCTGACATGACTTTCCTATGTACATGCATAGCTCAGTGACAGAGCACTTGCCTAGCATATGTGAGGCACTGGGTTCAATCCTCAGCACCACATAAAAATAAGCAAATAAAATAATGGCATTCTGTCCATACACAACTACAAAATTTTTTTTTAAAAATAAGAGATTTGAAAAAAATTATTTAAACAGTATGTTTACATCCATGATGATAAATAGTATCATAATGGTACTTAATGGAAAAAAAGCAGGAACAAAATAATAATAAACTCATTTTTCTGTTTTGAAAATGCTAGGTAGTTAATTTCTTTTAAGTGGAAAATAAAAAGAATTAAGCATTTATCTCCCTTGCCTACATAAACCACATCCCAGAGTAACCAAATGTATTATGAGGCAGAGATTCTTTTTATACAAAATACTCCAAGAAAGACTAATAGGATGGAGGTGTGAATATTTTTTGTATCCACTAATAAATCAATGTTATCTAGGCATTTATTATTTATCACGTTAACATCATAAGAACATCAATCAAGCAGCTTGTGCTTTCTGATAACCTACTCAACACCACCTAGGAAGTATTCTAGCCACAGTAATTAAATCTGAACCTGATGGACCTTCTAATCCTAACTTCCAATTTACAAGATATTTAGGACTAAAGGCATACATTGCAATGACTGAAATCCAGCCTGAGAGAAACTCCAGGACAAATGTGATAGGGAAAAAAAAAAAAAAAACAGAGAGAAGGAAGAATAAAAGCAGGCAAGCGATCCTTATAGGTTAGGAAACTTAAGAAATGCACTAATTGCAAGAAATGGAGTTAAATTCAACCCTGATTTGAATGAACAATTTTTAAATGTTTTGGGAAGTAAGCCATTTGCTGATTTCAAAATCTGCAGTATGGCATGGCCCACTGAATACTACAACTCAAATGATCATATTCTTATTTTAAATGGAAGGTATTTCAACCGTGCTATACCTTGTCCCTAGATTACCAGAATTTGCTTATCTAGAACTCTGCAGTACTGACAGAATTCTTCACTATAGTTTACTCATTTTTAAGTCAATCTCTCCTAAGGCTAAGGCTGAGAATATATTTGGCAAAACTCTATTGTCCAGCAAAACCTTTATTTATGGTGAGAAACTAATGTGACTCCATTTTTGAGAAACCAACCTCTACCTCAGAGCAAAGCCTGTCCAAGGAAGGGGGCGTGACCCTTGTCCTTGGAAAAACCCACAGAGCACTCTAAGCACATACCCACCCTGCTGAGTTGTCTGTAAATATTGGGAGAGGTCTGCTGGCTCCAGGTGTCCCTGACTCGGTTAGGCTAGGTGAGGACCCATAGCAACCCTCCTAGCAACCTCCAATTAGCATAAGACAGGGAAAATACCTGGAATGCCAGATGACCCCCAAGTAGTTTATGGTGGTTAATAACATGTTGGGAAACCATGTAGTTTAGCACATACACCCCTCATGGCCTAAACCAATCAGTTCAAACGAATCCCCCTCTTGTACTAACCAATCACCCCTACCCAACTTGTTCCCGCCATTGAATGTGCTAATCAATGTTAAGAGTTGTTATTTGATTTTCCCACGGTATGGAATGATTTGCTGTGATGTTGGGACGTATAGAGTATCCCCCAAAACCTATAAAATCTCACTGAACAAAGGACTGGGACTCACTCCCTGGGACCTCTGCGCTGGGAACGGTTCTGAGTCCAGGCTCGAGCTTGCAATAAAGACTATTGTGTGATTGCATCGGATTCGGCTCCTGGAGGTCTATTAGGGTCCCACAAATCTGGCATAACAATGGAAGCTACACTGTCAAGTTTTTCTTGCTCCCCAGGCTGCCCTGGAGGTTTGGACCTTTACCAGCTGCACACTCGTCACTGGTATTCATGACAGAATGGCTTCAGACAAGTTTTAAGTTTAACAGATTTTTGTCTTTTGATTGAGGCACAATTACTGTCCGCTACTAGGCCTAAAAATGCACCTTGACAGCAAATTCAAGTGGTGACTCTTTGGGCTGATGGCTTATTTTTAAAAATCAGAAAAGAAATTGCACTTGCCTTATTCCAATTCTGTTTTGTTGGGGGCTCTATAATTTCACCTGTTGTTTGTTCTAGAATCCTCACTAAAGTTTTGATCCTCTTGGCTTTTCACATACTGACTCTTAAGTATTCTTTGTGACAGGAGAAATAAAAGCTCTGGGTTCCTACAGCTTACCTTTTCAAAGATGGGGAAGTAACGGTTTTTAGCTTTCTTCACAATTTCAGCATAGTTTTCCTCTTTCTCCTTGGGGGGTTGGAATGCAGCACATGCAATCATTATCATCAGGTCCAGGGTGCCATCAGTGTACATGTCAATCCTGACAAAACAGATACATGGTTTCCTGGTCTAACACTCCATGGTATATTAAATAGTCATCGGAACAAACAATTTTTGATTCTTCCCTTAAGCTCCCATTCTCATAAGTAATTTTGGTTACCAGATCCAGCCAAGTAATGTAGTAGGGTCTCTGGAAATGTTTATTGAATATAAGGATGTATGAAAAAATTGATGAAATCACAGTTGTATGTACACATAAATATTACCACAATAAAATCCACTATCCTGATAAATAATGCACCAATTAAATGCACCAATTTAAAAAACAGAATTGATGGATGCCTTTAAGTTGAAATCTGCCATAAGCAAATGCTTGGGTTATTATGGTTTTAAAAACTGAACTCATAAGTTTATCAAAAGTACAAAACTTTTAATACTAGAACTTTCTCATCAATTTAGAGGAGATAGATTATTTAACAGGTCTTCCATATACCTGGAAACTAAGAAAGCCAGGCAGGTCACATAAACAGTTTGGTTTTCATTCCCTTTAATTTTTTTTTTTCATTGAAAAGCACTCTTTTAAAAGACATTTTTTTTAAAAAAACTAATAAAGGTAGATGCATCACAGTTATTTACTGGCCAACTAGTGCATTGAGTTGCTGTGGCAGTTTGCTCTACTGATGGTCTTTGTATCCCCCATTATGTGTCAAGTATTCAAAAAAATTAGTTTAATGATTTTCTGTAGTCTCTTTGTTTTTAACAGCACACAAAAGAATAATAATTTTTTACTGCACTATCTGGATTACAAATCATTTTTCTTCCATGTTAGATTGCCATCTGACCCACTTGCCTATTATAGTCTATGTCTAATCTAAAGAAATAATATCAATGATTTTGTCTGTAGCTAAGCGCACACATCTTAAAGGAAAGAAAACAATGAAAAATACACATCAAAACAATGAGAAAGAGACTGCTTTTGCATATTAATACTTATTTACATGGTTACAGAGAGCTTCATTCACACACTGTTTGACATTGCTCCCTGGACCATGTAGGTTCGGGATTGCAGGCTGTAATGACAAACTTGTCTTAAAGATGGAGAGGTGGGAAAGCTGGGTGGGCTTTTCCTTTTTATGGACTTTGTACATTTCTACTTTATGCACTTGCTCTCCTTTTTCTAAACACTGAACTTGGCTTTGTTCTAGCTTGTCTTCTATGTATACTAACCATCCCACCATTCCACATTTATGGTAATAAGATTTTAGGGTCCAAAGAAAAGGCCACTTGACCCAAAATCCAGATAAAGTTTTATAGTTGCAAGTCTTAAGTTTTGTCTTAAGTCTACTTATTCACCATGAAACTATTCTTTAGGGCTAATAATCCAATCATCCTCTATTAGGGCTAGCAAGGTGGAACGCAGAGAAGATGCTTATGTTACATAGATGGGAGGTGGGGGATGGTGGCAATCCTTCACCCTCCAATAGATATATGAGAAGTCTTGGCAGCTCCTCCCATCCGAGGTGAGGCCTATTTCCCAGGCTGACCCTGTGACTTTCTCTGACTAATAAAATGAGGTGAAAATGATGCGGAACCGGTTCTGAGCCCAGAAATTAAGAGGTCTGTGTACTTTCACTCTTCCTCTCAGAACCCTGCCTAGCTACCATGCGTACAAGCTCAAGATGAAAGAATGAGAGACACATGGCCCTTTTCTCTCCCAAAAGTCAGCCAACACCCAAAGCCAGAGCCACATGGCTACTGTTTGGCTGACCACATCATATGTCTAAGGCCACTTGGGGTAAGTCAAGTGTGGCCCAGAAAAACCAACCACTAAGATGACCCATAGACATGTGAGCAATAATAAATGCTTGTTGCTTTAAGTTGCTCTGTTTTACCTTCTTTCTTTATATTGCAGCACCAGAGATTAAATGCAGGGCATGCTATAACCACTGAGTTATACCCCAGCCCCAAATCACTGTATCAAGATGATATGTTACACAGTGTTACTTATGATAAATAGATCATTGATAAAATGCTCAATATTTATTTGTCAAATCAGTTATTTCCACCTGCATGTAGAATCATTTACCAAGTCATCTTCTGAAAACATATGTTGCTAGTAGAGAATATGAGAATGCTACATGCAGACCACTATGAAGTATACGCACACACAAGGGGAGATGTGGAATATTTGTTCAGAATTCTACATAGGACATGCCAGGTCTAGCACAGCATGTCACCATTATCCCCCTAGCTTTCTCCCTTCAGTCCAGGCTGAAAGGTACACTTGAACTAGGTCTCAGTTGATGCAGAACTACAGAAGCTTGAACAAAACTCAAGTACAGGAATGAATAGTATGGTACCTGACTCTCTCCTTCAGGTCCTTCCCATACAAGTTGTACTTGGCAGCAAGATAGCTGAGGATGGCTCTAGTCTGGGTCAGCATCATTCCATCAATTTCAACCAAAGGCACTTGGCCAAAAAGCAGGCATCCATCTGTAGTTTGAACAAAGAAAGGTAAGATATTCTTTGATGAAGGATAGTCCACTGAGTGATTTTTGGTTTTCAGCCAAAGTGATGAGTTGCAGATCCCAGTAATTGAAGAAATGCCTTCTGTTTGCTTCAGTAGCACTAATGTCTATCTAGCAAGATTTTGGCATCAGATTCACCATTTTAGGTCTGGAGCCATTTTTTAGTTATAGGTGGACACAATATCTTTATTTTATTTTTATGTGGTGCTGAGGATCGAACCCAGTGCCTCATGCATGGTAGGCAAGTGCTTTACCTCTGAGCTACAACCCCAGCCCTCCAGCAATATTTTGGAAAGATAAAATGAGATCTTTAAAAGACAAAATTTTAAATGCATTTTATTGTATTTTTGTGTGTTGGTCAATCTTGATTTTTAAAGACTTTCCACATTAACTGTGTTAGAGTATAAGTGTTTCTGGTTCTCAACATTTAGGCTGAATAAATCTGTGGTGAGGGTTGTTAAAAAATGCCCTCCCTATTCCTCAGGGAAGGAGTCTGGGATTCTGCATTCTTCCCAAAGTACATGTGGTCTCATGCAAAACATCCACAGCTGCATAATGGACGTGACAGCAAGAACCCAGGCACACCTGGGTTCAATGTCAGCTTTAGCCCCCTCCAGCCCTGTGACTTTGGACAAATTACTTATCTAATCTTGAGATTCCTGTCTCTAAAATAGCAGTCGTGTCTATCTAGGAGGATTTTGAGAAGATAAAATGAGATATGTAAAAGACAAACACTGCCAATAATATTCAGTGAAATAAAAATTAAATTCTCTTTTTTTTGTAACTAATTGCCTACATACATAAGTCAAGCACTGGTCAGTGATGGGAATATAGTCTGAGAACTGCACTGTGAAGCAGGTTTATCATGGTATGAACATCATAGAGTGTACTTGTACAACCTAAGATGACTATGATCTCATTAGGCGATATAATCGTAGGGGACCACCATTATATATGTGGTCCACTGTCAACCAAAACATCATTGTGCAGCATATGACTACAGTGCATTTGAGATATATTCTAATTTGGTGCTCTTTTCATGGAGTCTTGAAGAAATTAATAGCTATTGAATTTGTACAATATCTGCACATTGTTGTAAGAAATGTTATCTAGAATAGGAATCAGACTTCACTAGTGCATTGGCAAAGATCTGGGTTGATTCCCCCAACTTCTAATGATGTTCCTATTAGATTCAATGGGAGGCAGTAGAAGACTGTGGGAAGAATACCTCCCCCAAAACCAGTGACAGCTGCTGAGAACCAGTGTCTCTTTCTACTTAGATGAATTAGGCAAGTCTTTGACTTCTCTGAGCCTATTTTCCAATCTGTAAGTATCTGTTCTGCCTTCTTACCCAGTTTCTTTGAGTAAGAATAAGTTAAAGCTTTGGAAATATCAGTACTATTGTTAATGGGGAGGATACAAAGCCTCCATTCTCTGAAGGTATTTCCACATTTGTTCAATATTGAATGAACCCCTAACAGCTGGGCATGTGCTACTGCTTGTGAGTGGCACAAACATTAAATTACTACTGATGCCCACTTCTAGGAGTTGATGATCTTAGGCTGATTTTTTAAATCTCAGATTTAGAGGGCAGGAAAGGGTCTTTGATATCGCTTAGTTTAATTCCCTCATTTTATAGAAGACACTGCTGAGGCCAAGGGATGTGAATGTGATTTGCCCAAATTCATACAGTTCAGGGATGGTGAGGCCAACAGAAGTGGGCCTTCTGACTCATTTGGCGCTCTCTGCTGTGCCTCCCTGCTTCCTGTTCACAAACAACAGTAAGGCCCAGGAGAATGTTCCCAGTGCAATAGCTGCCCTACAGGCTCAGGAAGGACTGGGTATATCAGAGAATATTAGGGAGCACTTCCTGCCAGAATGTTCATGGAATGGCATATGGAGCTAGTCACTTACTCAATTTGTATATATTTAGCCCATACTTGTATCGGGGCCTCTCCTTGCTTGGAGTGGAATAAGGCAGAAATAAAGAGGAATAACCGATAATAAGGTTCCTGAACAAGAATCAGGGAAAGGATAACCAGACCTTTCCCCACGTCACTAAGATCTACTGGTACACTATAATCTACCACCACTGAGATTATTTTTATTTTATGGAGAAGAGACAGAGAGGTAGAGAAGTTAAAAGTCTTGCCCAGAATCATACAGTTTATCAGTGACAGTCTGCTAACGACTGGCTGAACGGCCTTCTTAAAAATAATTTGTACAAACGTCATGATTGTTTATCAACAACAGTGGGGATGCTCGCTTGTGTTTTCTTTGATAAGGACAATAACATTGTATCTGTTAGAAACTTAAGAAATACTATTAAAATGCTAGACTTTTCTCCCAGTGTGGGAAATTTACCTAGGGAATTGTAATAATTAAGGTCTTTTTCTTTGGTCAATATTTAGTGAAAAAAATCAAATATTTTCCACCGTCTGAGTTCTACATTGTGGATTATCTATTATGATTTGATAAAAATGGTTTCTGTTAATCTGAGAAAAAAATTAAAAGTGAACTGTGAGAAGTAGAGAATACTCCCTCAAGCTTCCTCCCCTTGGATCCCCTGGGTGACCATTTAAGAATTCTCAAAAGTGTTCTTCAGTGGGAGGGGATTATTGAGCATTCAGCACTGCTGAGTCCATGCTTAACTGAGTTTCCCACCATAACCTCCTTGATGAGTATTTGTGAAGGCTGAATTGCTGATGCAGAGAAGGCATCTAGCTGTACACCAGGGACATAGGAACCAATCAATCAATGTTAGCCAGCATGCTGTGTGCTTGCCTTTTCTCATAGCTGACATTCTCTAGCCCCATGTTCTATATCAGAATGAATGTTTCCAGAAACAAGTTTCTATTTTTTCTAATAACATTGAATTAACCTAGACTCACCTTTCTGCAACTTCTTATAATGTTCTCTTGTTTCAATAAATTCTTCTTCAAACTAGATAAAGAACAGAGAGACATTATTGTAACTTTATGACAAACTTCCCTAGCAACTCCACCACTCATGAAGCAAGGATTCTAAGATCACTGTCTTTAAGGCAAGGTCCTTGATGGAATGTAAATATTGACTCAAAGAGGAGCAGGGCAGTTTTGGGACACGTGATTAAGGCTGGGACTAACTAATGAGACACCTAGGGCATAAGAGCTAAGGTCTGAGAAGCTGTGCCTCCCTAAATTCTGCACTGTAGGTGCTTCACTGGCCTGACTCTCGGCCTGATCCTTCATAAGTCTATATTTGCACGACAAAAAACAATTTTGAGACACTTAAGAGAAGTCAGTGGAGAGGGAATTCAGTGTTAAGGGATGGTCCCACAGGGGAGAACTTAGCTGGGTATAAGGTTCCAGCTGGTGGCCATGAGTATTACATGACTGAGGTGCTGTAGTCAGACAGAAATGACCCCCCAAAATCAGCTGGTCCCAGTGGAGAAGATGAGTCAGATGTGGGTCTCCTCTCTCTCCTTAATCTTGAGATCCACTAAGATCCCTTCATTCCTACAAAGCTTCCAGATCACTTCCAGATCCCCAACTCCTTTCCTACCCCTACCCCTCCCTTATCTCTTAAAAGGAAAACAGTTGGAAAGGGAAAGAGTAGATACAACAATCCTGAATTTTGAAGGGGGAAGGGGGACTGCACACCCACCCAGATACTGTACTTCCTCTTCCCAATCAGGAACCAACCTCCACTCCAGCTGCAGCCAGCAGCCAGCGGATGGACTCCCTCCTGCCTCGGCCATTAAAGTAGTAGAGCTTGGGTTTGGCTGCCATGACTCTTGGCTCAGAGTTTCCTAAAGGGGAAAATTTTTAAAAAAGAAAATGACTTTTAAAGAACTAATTAACTAACTAGTTAGAACTAACTAACACACACCATATGTTATGTCTTCATTTATAGCAATGTTAAAGCACATAAAACAAACCTACTCTGTAGAGACTCAAACACAGGAGGTAAAACTATGAGGAAAAGTAAGAAATAAATATCACAGAAACAGGATAGAAGTTACCTCCTGGGAGGAGAAGGGGGTTGCAACTGGGGAGGGACATTTGATATTCTATGATGCCAGCGATGTTCTATTTCTTGAGCAGAATTAGTAGCCTTTATAATTAGATTGTACATTAAATTGTACATGAAATACTCTATAAGTGGACTAGGTCAAAATTTTAGAAAGAACAAACTATACATATCAAGGCATCAAGGTATTTTTGTAGATTTGAAAGATGTTCTCTGATATTTGTTGAAAGGTACCAGGAGTTAATATAATGGTTTCATGAATGACTGTAAAAGAAAACCTTTTCCGACAGCAACAAGGAGGCATTTGGATTGAAGCATTCTGTGGGAACAGGGGATGGTTTGGCTGCTGTCACAAGATTTCCTGGAGCACTGATACAAGCACAAATGCAGGCCTAGACAGGACCTGGATTCAGGTTCTTTCCTGGTCATCAATAAGCTGGGTAACCTTAGATCTCATTCGCTTAACCTCTGTCTGCCTACAGGTCCTTACCTGCAACTGGGAAGAATCTCCCAGCACCATCTGCAGCCTTCAAAGAGAGTCCATAAAGCCCTTGTACCTAATAGCATTTCTATCTCACTGTTGCCAGAGCCCAACATAGCTGTTGTTAGTGACCGTACTGGTTTCACAGGATTATTGCAGTGATCATATGAGATAAAATCAGGAGCTTTGAAGGTACTATAACTCTTTGGTCTCCTTTTCTCACCTTTGCCCCTCCTACTCTAAATACAACAATGCACACTTCATTTAAAGGAACAGCAAAAGATACCAACTTCTGGCAGAGTGCCTGTGGTACTTGGCTCAGAAGGTGCTTAGGAGGCACTGAGGAGCACATCCATGGAGACACTATGCTGCCCTGGCTGCCAAGAGAGCATTTCCCATGGTCCCCAAACCAGAAAGAGGCCAAACCACCAAATATCATACCCTCGCTAAAATCCAATTTGAGGAAGTTACTGCACAAATAGGACTCAAGATATTAAAAATCTGGAATATCAGTAACTTCATTAATGATATGAAAGTTAACTATTAAACACACAATCGTGTGACAGCAAAGTCCACAAGGTTCACGAAATCGTTTAGGTGCATTTAGGTGCATGGAAGCCATTCTTCCTTACAGCTGTCCCGTTTCATTCGTATTAGATCTACTTACAGCTTAACTCTTTGAGAAGTTTGATTCCTTTCTTATCTCAGGGAACTATCTATATTGGGTTGCTGTCAAGATTCAGTCCTTTTAAATTGCCTCTTTAGCTACAGCATATTGAATATTTCAGGAGCTTCTTAAAAAAACAGAATCAACCATTGAATGTCTTCGGAGATACTAAGGGAAAAAAAGTCACTTTGTTAACCAGAATTCCCTGATTAGAGAAACCATGTTTAGGTTCAGTGACTCACTAATGAACCAGGAAATGAACCTTAAAATACAGTGAATGTGGAGAGCAGATGAGAAGAGGAAAGAAGGGAGAGCATGCTCTCTCCTGATCCTCTCCTCAATCTAAGAACTTCTGAATCCTCTGATCTCCCCCAGTGTCCCACATGGAATGGTGAAGGAGCAACCTTCACCTATTTGAAACATCATATTTATTCAATTAATACACATATTTTTATTTGCCAGTTAAAATAAATTTTAGAAATTTTGGAATAAAAACAAAGAGGAGGGCACAGGAATTCACAAACCTGCTAAGGACACTTCAGGACAAACACACACAGGAAGAAATTAGCCAGGCACTGACTAGTTCATAGGAAGTCAGCAACACAAAAGAAACAATGGGGCAAATTAACAAGTCTTATTCAGAGGACCCCCTGCAGGTCTCCATCCTGCTGCCTTCAAACAAAAAATAAAGCAATCTTGGTGAAGTTCATGTTGGAGTTTCACTTGGGAAGTGCCATCTGTCTATTGTCCTTTGGGTGCATAGAGCTCAGACTACTTAAACTGCACCTACTCTGAGAGGTGGAGATAGAGCTGTAAATTTGGCTGGGGGTGGATCTGGTTATTTCTTTGGTCCTATCTCCCTGAAACCCTTAACTAGACCAAATTGTGTTTGAAATAAATCCTAGATTTAAAAAAAAAAAAAAAGTGAAAGGCACAGGAAAGACTGCTGAAATTGAAACCTCCTTTTTTTTTTTTTCAGTGATTCTGTTCTACTCTCCCAGTTATCCTTTGGTTAACCCTGTGGATCTAGACAATGGCATTTCTGATGGTCTCCAGAAAGCTGTTTTTAAGCAGTGGGTCACTTAAAATGCAGGGTGGCTGGCTATTCTCCTGTCTCATCATTCTCTTAGTGATTTAAAACCTAGAAAGATTAAACTCTCCACTCTTGCTTGCCCTGGGAAGACTGGTACCTAATGAACCGCTGAGTGTCATGACTTGTAGGCTCCAGAGAGCATATTTGTCCCAGAGACTTGGTCAAGAGTGAGACTCTAATGACTAGGTAGGGTACCAGTGGATGAAATCTCAGACAAAAGGAGAGGCAGCAAAATGCACCCTGAATTGATCCAGAATGGAGCCGGCTTCTTGCTGACATTCCAGCATCAACACTCAGAGGGATGCAGAAATATCGACCCTCAGAGGTGAAGGAATACACTAGTGGGAAGCCGGCCCATGAGAGGATGTGAGTCTGGGTACCATTCATGGATCTATTGTTCTCTTTTGGGAGAGGCATAGTCACCAAACAAGAAGGGAAACCTCTGCTTGTTGAGATATAACCTCCTGGGTGTGAATTAATAGCCATCTCTCTGGCCTGACAAGGGAAGGCAGAGTGAGAAAGAGAGGGCCCATGTGTGAATCTGATCCTTCACTGGCTCCCATGGCAACAGCACCCATGTTATATCCAATGAACATAAGTGGGTGTTAATAGGCCATCCTTTCTTTTTGTCCAATTTTTATTGTTTCATTATAGTTGTACATAATGGTAGGATTCGTTACATGCACACAATATAATTTGGCCAATATCATTCTATCCCCTCCGTTCAAAGGCAGAAAGAGTTTCTGGGCTCTTGAGTTATGAGTCCTCACTGTTGCTAGGCAAACTTACCCCACCTCTCCAAACCTCAATCTCTGAATCTTTAAGATGAGGGTGGCAGTTATACTGCTCTCCTTGGAAGGTTTTCATGAGGACTGAGGATTGAATAAAGTAAAAGATAAAATCATACCCCAGTATCATTTCAGGTACAGTCCCCATGCTTTTTTGAATGAATTACAAACCAATTTAGTGCTAACATTTCTTTTGTAAAGACTGGATTGTCTGTTTTAGATGTCATTTATAAAGGTTCATTGCAAATGCAATGGCTATGTCATAAAAGGGAGGGAGGAAAACTTGGAAATTTCACCCAGTATTACAATATAAAATATTTAAAAAAGTAAAATCCAGTGTGGCTTTTATCTTCATGCTGTGATGTTTTAGCTTAATTAGAGCATTGTTGTGGTCTGCTGGTCTATGGGAGTTTGTTTTGGAATTTCATTCAATGGTTTTGTGCCAGAATGGTTTCTCCCACTTCATTTCTGCCTGTTCCTTCCATTTTTCAGGCACAGATTCAGGGATGTAGCATTAGAGGACAAGCTGTTAAAAACCAGCAACTCAAATGATAACTACCACCACTACTGTGAAAGTCTTAGCAAATGTTTGTTGTTCCCTAATTAGCTGGCTCTGGCCAGTCCCTGTTACTGGCCTCTCAGCCTGGGACTAAGAGTGTTCTACATTAGTCTCGCAGGGTAGAGGATGGATGGATGAGCAAAAAAGCATTTTCAGGACATCAGTCGCCATCTGAACCCCTCCCAGGAGGAGCTGTTCCTTCTAAAACAATGCTAAGCCCAGAGAAGGGCCCTTACCTCTTACACTCTCATACCCAGCCAAGATCCAACTGTTCTCCCTGGATTCTATGTTGTAAAATTACATGGAAGTGACAAGCTCTTAGGACGCAAGGGTCATATTATATTTCATCCCCTATAAAACCAGCCCAGTATTATCCCAGACACTGTGGATGTGTAACATATACTGTTGGTACTGTCAATGTGCCGTTTGGAGTTACCAGTTTCTAACCCTGATGAGATTCCTTTCTTCATTATTTCATTTTTTTCTTTCAACCTCAAATATGTATTGAACTTTTACTATGGTACCTTACTAGGTGTTATGGTTTGGATGTAAGACAATGCAAGAAGGTTTAGAAGAGAAACTATTGGGCTATGAGGTCCTTAACCCAATCAGTGAATTAATCCCCTAATGGGGATTAACTGAGTGGTAACTGAAGGCTGGTAGGGTGTGGCTGGAGGAGGTGGGCAGTGCATGGCTTTGGGGTATTTTGTATCTGGTAAGAGGAGTCTCTCTCTCTCTGCTTTCTGATCATCATGTGAGCTGCTTCCCTCTGCCACAATCTTCTGCCATGAAGTTCAGCTTCACCTCGAACCAGCTGTCTGTGGACTGAGACCTCTGAAACTATGATTCCCCAAATAAACTTTTTTCCTCTAAAATTATTCTAGTTTGTCCTTTAGTCAGACCAGCAAAATAGCTGAATAAAACGCTAGTCAAGGAACTCTAGGCACGCAAAGATTAATAAAGTGTATTTCCTGTCATCGAAAACATCCAGCCTACTATGAGGCAAGTCAAAATGAAATAAATGTTTAGTAAAAATGCAACATGGGGCTGGAGGTTGTAGCTCAGTGGTAGAGCACTTGCCTAGCATGAGAAGGCTTTGTGCTCAATCTCCAGCCAAAGAGCAGGTGGTGGCGATACAGGATGGTATTATAGGAATTGAACAGAGTCTCAC